TTACAATCTAATAACCTTCAGCTCAACATCACACTTCACAAATCATAAAATATATTTTTACGATCTTAATCATGAATTCGATAACTCAAAGCTAATTAAAATTACATGGTTTTATCTAGAGAACACAAGATGATGTGTGTCATCTTTTATTTTATTTTAATTTATAAAAATTATTTGATGATAATAATAATATATAATTTTATAATTTTTATAAAATAAAGGTTCAATTTTTTTCTAAAATTGAAACAAAATATATAAAAATTGAAATTTTAGGTATAAACTCAAAAGTTTGGTTTAGTTTGGTTTGTGCATTATATTTTCATTTTTTAAAATGAAAACCTAATATATAATATTTTTTCTTTTATATGCAAGATATTATTCATCTGTCATCAAAATAATTTAATATCAAAGACAAAGTCTATCAAAGTTAGAGTTTGAATCTATTCTGCTAAATAGAAAATTTATCATGGTATATCATGAAGAATGTTTCCAAAATTTCTATATACTATAGAATCTCTAAAAAAATCATATTTAATATGAGTATTTTTGTTTTATTATATTTCGTTGAAAAGCAGGCAGCATTCACAGCCATTTACTTAATTATTGTGAGAACATTTTGATGATATCAGGTAAGATTGACATCATTCAAGGTCAAAACGGAGAAGGTTTTCTAATCGTGGTGTACTATTCAGCTATATTCATGTACAAAACCGATTTTATTTTTCTTTTTATTGAATATGATGCATCGGTTATGAAAACTTGCTATGCTGAGTTAAAAGAAGAAGAATGGTGCCTTGTAATTGTTGCTCCAGTTAATTACGTTCAATCCAGAAAAGCAATAGATTACTCTTAGATCATTCGAATTGTGTATGGAAGCCTTGCATGTAGCGCACATGCAAAATGGATAAACATTTATGTGCCCTGAATATGAGAGTATCCTTTGTATAATATTATCGTCACACAATATGTTTTCTTGCAGGAAGTTTGTCACTATTCCTACTGTTGTTTAATGATTATTTAGTATTCTTCCAACACATTAAAAGTAGCTTTATAGCGTATGCAACACAACTTGTGAACTTACCCGAATTCCGTACTTTGGCTCGTTCCAAATTTTTCATATGAATGGAGAGCCATGTGATATAACAAAAACAGTGGGATCAACCCAACGAGTCGTAGAGAAATGAAACCAAATGTGCATCATGAGATTATGCCCAACAAGGATATTCTCATATTCAGGGCACATAAATATTTATCCATTTTGCATGTGCGCTCACATGCAAGGCTTCCATAGATAATTCGAACGATCTAAAAGTAATCTATTGCTTTTCTGGATTGAATGTAATTAACTGTAGCAACAATTACAATGCATCATTCTTCTTCTTTCAACTCAGCATAGCAAGCTTTCCATAACCGATGCATCAAAACTGCCCAAAGGCGATTTATATTTTGATATTTTAGCTTATTTTAAGTTAACTTTATACACCAAGACGTGTACAGTGTTCTTGTGATATTGTTTGTAATGTATATTGTTTTCCGGAGACACAGTCTACCAATTCAGAATTTTTTATTCTACTCGTGTTGGTCGCTTGATAAACTTTGCAAGTCTTTATATGTCGCAGAACATTAAAAATCCGGGTTGAATAAAATCCTTAAAGTGTACTGAGATGATAGCACATTCTACGCGCAAGATTCCATAGCTTCAACATTCTATGGATTTGTTTTGAAACACCATCTTCATTTGACTACAAGAGCTTCTGATGAAGGCCCATGTGTATCATAGCGTGTATACCCATTTATTTCCTCCTTACTGTATAAATTGAGTTTGTTCAAATACAAAGAAGGCTTCAATAGTTCCATCAGAATAGACTTAAATGTTAAAAACATAATTCATTACTGTGGAAGGTTTGTTTGGAGTGAGTGTCCAGTATTGCTTTCTCTGGCTGTGTACGGAAAATTCGTATTCTATCTCCCTTAAAAAAATAATTCCATGCCTAATCAATTAATATGAAGTGAGTTAATCACTTAATTCCAGGAGTTCCCTCTCTGAACAATAAACAACCTTTAATAATAAAAATGAACGAAGAAAAGTGATAATCATCAAAGATCAGTCAACAAATGTTACACAATTTTCTACTATTATTTTATGATTCATTGCTCTTAGTGGGTCCTATATTAGGACGAGGACGGGTGACATTAATTTTCTGAGTGCATTTCCTGAGCCGGATCGTGAGATACGCAAGAGATCGCAGTCACTCGAGGAGAAAGTTCGGAGAAACGACAGCATCGTCGAGAGAAGGCAACGGGAAGGCCGAATAGAAACCGGTCGTCGTCGGTCGTCAGTCGTCGATCGTCACGCCGTCGTCGATGAGTTTGGCAGACAGAATCTCGGGGCTCGTCGAGAGAAAGTTATGATCGTCGGCAGAGGGAGGGAGGCGAGGAGGAGTGAGTGAGTGAGTGAGTGACCATCGGACAAACGCGGGATGGACGGCGAAAGCACCCGGCCTTCGGACACGGCCCTGGCCCTGGCCCCGATCGGGACCCGGCATCGCGAGAGAGGGAGGTGGATCCCAAGACATCGGACCGGTGGCCCGGCGGGCGGGATGACGGGGGGAAGCGTCGGGCCGAGGTGCGCGACGGAATATGAGCAGAGAAGACGGACGTCAAGACTGTCAGTCGGTCACACGACTAGCGGTCGAGGCGGGCGGGGCTGGGGGGCTGGGGCTGGGGTTGGGACTGGGGCCCACGGCAGATCTAGTACGCAGGGAGGGGAGCCGACACAAGCCGAAGCCGAAGCCCAGCCCCAGCCCCGCGCGGGGTAAAGGAACGTGGTTGCCGAGAAACATCCGGGGCGTGGAGAGTGGAGAGTGGAGTTGCGCGGTCTCTTCTTCGACTCTTCTCCGAGGCACTGCAGCAGCCCCGCGCCTTTATTGCCGGTGCTGCTGGAATCACGTCCGGACCCGAGCCGGCTACACCGTTCCCGAGTGCACAGCAGCAGCAGCCATGGCGCTGCTGCGTACGTATGCTCAACTCGATTACCGACCACCGACGTGCGGCTGTGTGTGTGGCTGTGTGCATGCTCCCCTTCGTTCTGGTGACTGGCGTGCGGGTTGGCAGGCAGGCAGGAAGTGATTGCGCCATCGATCGATCGATCGAGCGAGCGAGCGAGCGAGCGAGCGAGAGGACAAAGTTGCCATCGAGCTTCGAATCGGCAAATTCCGTGTGTTTGTTTCATGCTGCCGATCTCCTCGTCGCCTGCTCCCGAGTCTTGGGTGGCTGGTGCTGCTGCTGCTGCTGCTTTTGACCCGGAAAGTGGCGCGGCGGGATTTGCAAGCTCTCTCTCTATAGCCTTGAATAGCCCTCGTAAACTGCATCGACTCTCGTCTCGGCCGGAGCTCGCAACAGTGCCCATGCATTCACATTCACGCACACATGCACTCGACATGTAGCCAGCTGCTCCACCTCACGGACTCCTCATTCCTGGAAAGCGGCCCTTTACTGCAGTAAATGTAACACGCCATCCGCGAAAAAGTGCGGGAACGCGAATTCCATACGCCCCCTGATGCCACCATCCATGGCTTCGTTGGCCTCACCGCGACCTGTACTCGCGTGGCAATGCCAACGCTGCATGCCCAGCAGATAAGTCGCTGCAGGTTCTTCTTCAGCGATCGACGCCCCCCTCCCTCACTCGAGCGAGAGATGCAGGATAAGGACCGTCAATCGGCTCCCACGGAGCGATCTTTGACTTAGGAAATCCCAGCGGAGGTCGTGCGATTGCTACGACTGCTGGCTGCGAAAAGCGCGAAGCCGATGCCGATGCCAATCAAGGAACGTCGGAGGAAAACGTCGGCCACTTGACCTTGTACCTTCTCATCGATGGCGCTCGTAGGTAACGCTGACCCTCGTAGCTGACGAACAGGTGAGACAAGGGCAAAAGCCATGGCTGTGCAGGCTTATAAAGTAATAGCTGGCTAGCTGGCTTTCCGGTTTGCGAGATCTTTTCGCCCTTTCTAGGCCCGCCCTAGGACCAAGACTCTTCATTGAACTTAGTTCTCGCAGGCCTTCAGAGCCTCGATTAGTTCAACAGCCAACCGCTCCAGCAATTCTGGCAATTCTTCGCACCTAGCCGCGAATTCGGAATCCCCCCCCAGCAGAATGTACACATCCCATCCTCCTCTGCAGAGACCCGTCGTCTTGACTAACGCTGCGCCCGGTGCGTGTTCGCAGACCACCACCGGCCTTGGATTTCCGTGACTACTTATGCAGAAGAGGCTTCTAGCTTCTGGCTTCTGGCTTCTGGGGCTGGTTTGAGTTTTCCCACTGTGCAAGCTTCCACTTCTGATCGGGAAAACTCATCCGATGCTCGATGAGGCTGAGCAAATGATCTCCTGATTACGGCACCGCAGAAGCTGGACCGGTTTCGTACTGTTCGCTACTGTACCGAGGACTTGTGGCGAAACGAAAATTGGCATTCTCTTCCCCACCTTCCTCGTTGGCGATGGCTGCGATCCTCTTGACATCCAGTACGTGATGAGGGCACCTAACTCCAGGATGTGGATGTGGACCTCGACTGCCAAAACATCGACCTTTATTCTGGATTTCCACGAACGACAGTCCTTAGCGTCGGTGCAAATGCATGAATCCCAGTGCATTTGCAACGACTCGGAAAGCCAGTCTGAGACACTATTGAAGCCATCGGGAGCTACTGTGATTCTCACGACCACACTCCTCACGGGGTGCAGACATCAGAACATCCTCCACTGCACGCTACCTTCTCTAAGGCAGGAAACAGATACAGTGTATGAACGAGGCTCCTGATACACTCGATGAATTCAATCGATGAACTCGATGAATTTCAATCAACTTCTCCACACAGATCCGGCCGAATCCCCACCCAACCAAAGTATAGATTTCATGCCAGGCATACGGTAGAGAAAACTATCTGGCTTCGGGATCGACGAATCGAGGCACATGCACGTCATATGAATGAGACATTGAAACGAATTGTGAGAATCCAGGTCATAAGAGGCTGGAGACTGCAGCCTTTCAAAGACGAGAGGCAAAAGCCATAGCATTCGGGTGGAAAAAAATTGCGAGAACGGAGAATGTATTCTCATGCATGATTCGCTGCACATTCAGATGATAATTCCACTACCTCAGTAGTGTGCCGGTACATATTTACATAAATGAATCAAGGTGAGGACTCGAAGTAATGGAAAAAAACCATACACTGAAGCCATCAATGAACGTGCCAGCCTGTACTGGCACCTACTGACTTGGGGCATAACTTCCTCACATCGCTGCAGGGTGCACAACTTACATTTCATACTCTCTGTTGAACTACTTTGGAGTGGGAAGGGGGAGACGGGGGAGTGTTGGCCAGGCTACCCCTGGCTCTCATCTCACGCTCTTCTCTCTCAGAGAATCTTCATCGTTTTAACCCCCCGGCAATATCCTGCCCTCAAGACACTGGTAGCTGGTTTAATTACACAGCATCCCGACGACCAGAAGAATCAGTCCGCTGGCAACTACATAACCCACAGATGCGCGCGTGAACTCGTGGGGCAAAGTGAAAACTCGCCATCTTCAAAGATTCGTCATGCCTGCTTCGACGGGGCCATGGCAGACGGCCCACGAGGCTTACATGGCAGGCCAGTCCGCCATACTTGCAACTTGTAGAGACACAGCAGCCATATCAGAATGTTCCTACATCTAGCATTGGTACTCTATCCGCATCGGAAGAGCCTCCACAGATTAAAGTGTATGTGAGGAATCCCCTCACAAACGGTTCCGTCCGTTCACATCTTCTCTGTGCATACGGTGTATCTGAATGGATAAATTTATTACAGCGGCAGAGACTGCCTCAGAGGATGACTTGGGCCATGGAGCCCGGGGGAAGGGCCTGATTGGCAGGGTGTACAGCAGCATGGACGGCAGAGAGTGAAAACCCACAGTTTGTAGTGTCCTGGAGGAGGCAGTTTGGAAGAGGAGGTAGGAGTCGGAATATGACACATGGCCTGAACTGGGCGGGGGAGGGGAGCGGGGGAAGAGTGAAAAAATTACAGGAAATGTCGGGGAGAACAAAGAGAGGCGGCGTGTACAGAATATTACAATGACGGTGCTCGTGACAGGTATCTCGATTGCTGCTCCGTGACCGACCACTCACAGACCTACCACGCTCACTGCACAGGAGGAAGCAGAAGAGCAACGCGGACTCACACACGTTCCAGTGCGACCGAGACGCATTCCCCGAGTGTTGATGTGAGATCACCCACTCATAATTGCGCAGTTGTAAATGAAACCACTGGTGGGAAGATGAAGATCAGTCACAAACCTCCATCTCTCACTGCCTTCCGCCTTCGGACTGTATGCATGAATCTGTGGTAAGAACAGGCCGACCCCTCGCGCACCGCCGATCACGAACAACTCGTCGCCCACGGCTTTGAAGCCCAGGCCCCAACCATTGGTGTTCTCGGCCCGATGAGGCACCTTCTCCAGCAGTTGCCACTGGTTCTTCTCCTTGTCGTACGACATCAACATGTTCTCGATGATGTTGATGCCATACAGCTGATTGTTCAGGACGGCGACCAAAGGGGGCGCGACTTGGGTGCTCGGGACGAACTTCTTGGGCCACATGTCCTCAATTAGATTCCAGGTTTTCATCGCCGGGTCATACACCTCGCCCGAGTTGAGTATGACCGACTGTTGTTGACCGCCAATGACGTGAAACTTGCCGTCCATCACAAATCCCGAGCAGCACTTCCTCTCCGTGTTCATGTCAGGCAGCAATTCCCATGAGTCGGTTTCGGAGTTGTACCTCTCGACCGACTTCAGAAGACTCCCTCGACTCGTTCCTCCGGCGAAGTAGGCAAATTGTCCGAAGCTGGCCGAGCCGAATAGACACCGATCAGTATGCATTTTCGGAGTCGTCGACCACGCGCTCCTGATGGTGTCGAATCTCCACACTACGTATCCATCTCCGCCTTGCCCTAGGACCATCAAGTTCAGCCCGGCCACCATGCTCTCCTTGTCGCACGAGTCGAACACGAAATCGCTAGGGCACGGTGGTATCACCACCCAATCGTTCACGGTGGGTCGATATGCCCGCCATTTCTTATCGACATTCGTTACTCCTAAAATGAACACCCAATCTTCGCGAACGGATTGCAGCCTTCGAGCCTTGTAGAGCTCCGGGCCCAGCAGATACGCCTTCCACTTCTTGCACACCAGAGCCATGTCGTATATCTTCGAACGCGGAATCCTAGTCAAACACAGTTGCCCCAGCTCGTCGTGAATACTAGGGAAGTAATCTCCTATCCTTTCGCGCACGTCTTGCTGATCTTGCTCACGGTCGCAGGGCTTGACGGCCCCCATGTCCGGGCACTGGTGATTCCGTAGAGCCAGCTCGCTCGATAATCCATCGGCCGCCACGGCGTGGTCTTCCACACCGGCAAAACAATTTCTCGGCTCGCTGCTCTGCAATCTCTTGGGGCTGCGATCACGCACGGCTATTCCCACCGAGCCCCGCTTGCGAGACGCCGGCTCCGCGCGCATGGACAGCGACGACGCGGTGGCCGTCTGCGGCAGTCCATTCCGCCCTGCCCCCATGGCTCGATTCTCCACCCTGTGCGTTCTAACTGAGCGCCTCGGAGGCCGCCTCTGGTCCGGCTCCTGGCTCGTATGAACCAGCTGCGGTTCCAGCGCGCTCACCCCTCCGCCATCATGATGTCTCATGACTCCTCCTGCTGCTGCCCTAATACTCACCTCCTCCTCGTCCTCGGCCCTCGCCGAGCTTCGTCGCTCCGTTGGGATTACAGACACTGGGGCCTCTGCTGCGCGCCCTCGCTCCTCGCACAACTGACACTCCGAGCTTTATACGAGAGCCACCATCACTCACCCGCGAGGCTCCTCATCGTCGGCCCGGCCGCAATGCCCTCGGACCAAGCCAGCCACAGACGCACATTTACCTTGAGTGCACGAGACGATTTCTTGCGCAGATTGGACTCTCTCGGCCGAGAGTCCAATCAGTCCGAGCGACGAACGAGCTCGCTCGCGGGCCGCCGACTCCCGAAAGAAACGTACAACCGCCTCGACGGCAACAATCTCTTCCTCACAGCCTCACAAGCCCTGCTGCGTCTATGTCTCTGGGTGCCTCTGTGCGTCGATGCCTCTGTCTGCCCCGCCTCGCCTCGCCTCGCCTCGGCGCAAGAAGGCTGGAGCTCTCGATTCGGTCCCCACACAAGCTCCTCCTCCTTCCGGGAGAATCAACGTCGCCTGCCTTTCCTTTCCTTCCCTTTCCTTTCCCTTCGCAGCCCCAAGCCCAGCCCCAGCCCCAGCCCCTTCCGCTTGCCCTTGCCCTTGCCCTCCCTTCCCTTCCCTTCCCTTCCCACTCACTGTTCTCTGGCTTCTTAGGGGGTCGGTCGATAGATACGTTCTACTCGTGATCACTCACATGGCGAAAGGATTCTCCTGCGAGAGCCTGCTGCAGCAGCAGCTCCCTCGTCTCGCTCTCGCAGAGGGGGTGGGGGGAGAACTGGATTCGGGGAGGCGGACGCCACTGACCTAAGGCCGGCACTCGCGCAGTAGTAGTGGTCGTCCGAGGGGGGGGGGGAGGGGCTGGGGCTGGGGTTGGGGGTGGGGGAGGGACGACGGCAGCGATCGCAGAGAGCGAGAGAGAGAGATGTACGAGCTGCCGAGAATGTGGCCAGCATGTGAGTGGGTGCCCTGGGGGGTGGGGGGAAGGGGGAGAGGGAAACCGAGCGCGCGATGGAACGCCACACAGAGGCACGCTCAGGATCTGGGAGGTAAACCGAGCGGGCTTGGCAGTCGGGAAAAGCGAATGAGCGTAATATAATCGCGAGGCGGGGGTAATCAGCGCGGCGTCCCGGAGGTGGTGGTGGCTTCGCGAATGATTTCCGCTCGCGGCTTAATATTAAAGAAGTAATGCGCGATGTTTTCTAATTATTTGCCCTTCCGTAGGCCATACTCCAATATAACTCCTGCATCTTGTCAGAATCTCGCCACGCCGGTCAAACTGCCGGCCGGCGGCACACTCTCGGCCGGAAGTCGGCCTTGACCGCGCCACGCGGTCAAGGCCGCTTAATGACGACGGACGCCGCCTGGGTCCCACGTCGGAACACGCGGGGGTTGCTCTCCCTAAATATAGCCGAGCCCACGCACCTCCTTCGTATCTTCTCCAATCACCACTCTCTCTATTATAATAGCCCCGCCGTGACGGGGCCTGTCTGCCTCCCCGGGTCCCCAAGACGGCAGCCATCGCTAAAGACGGGCAGCGTCGCGGAATTGTCGAATCTGCCCACTTAGCCTCGCCGCTTCCATCTGGCGCCCATCACCTCCATGCGCTGGTGCCGACGGACGGACGAACTGGCGGACGGCGAATAGGACACCCACAGTCCTCCCTTTGACCCGAGACCTCCGTCCCTTGCCCCGGTTTTTTTCCCCCGCCTGCCCGCCGCCACTCCTAGTCCCTAGCTGGGCCCCTTTTCCATCCGTCCCTCTCCAGGCGTGACTCTGCGCTGCTCCTGAATAACAGAGTCGCCAATCTCCTCCACGCTCTCCATTTCCCTTTTCCCTTTTCCCCTTTCCCATTCCCTATTTTCCCATTTTTCTATATATTTTCCTCTCGGGTGAGCGAATTCCTGCTCCGCTTTTCGTGCGCCCGGTTTTAGGGAAGTGTTCCCAGAAAAAAGGAAGGGCGTGGTTTCCAAAGAGCGGCGTAATTATCTTAAGACCTTACTCCGAGTGCTTGCCGTGCAAAAGAGGGCCATTATGCCCCCACTAAGTCCAGGAATTGAACCCCACTTTATGGCCTTGCAGAAATCCCCATAGGTGCCCAAATACCTCGATAAACAATCCTTCCTGTCGTTATGACGAGATTTCGCATTCATACATGTGTATCCGTTCGCACATGTTATGAGGGTCCATACTAATAATCCACTGCGCGTATTTTTTATTTTCCCATGAATCATCTTTTAGAAATTTTCTAAATCAAACGTTAGACTTAAATAAACTTAGAAAAATGCTTTACATGTAAAAAAAGTGCTACTCTCGTTAGGATGAGTGCCACACAAATTTTCATTTGACTTTTTGTTTTTAAGCTATGAAAGTGTTGCTCGACTTTTTTCCGTTGAAATTAAAGATGTATAAAATTGAGAATCAATAAAATTCGAATTATTTCTTGGATTGAATGCGTGATTGATCAAAGTGTTATGTATTGAAAGGCTATGAACAAGGTATTATAAAAATAAAATAAAAAATATTATTATGATTTTTTTATAATTTTTTATAATTTTTAACTAAAATTACCTCTACAAAATAAATATAAATTACACTTTTTGATTTATTCTACCTTAAGATGAACTAACACAATGATGAATGAACTAAATGATAAATCTGTCACTATGAAATTAACATGTAACAACATATTTTTTATATTAAGAATAGTATGCTAGAAAATTAAAATATAAACAAAATCAGATTAATTAAAGTGTAAAACATGATTTTACTTGTATTTAAATTATCACATGATATAAAAAATTCCGTCAATAAAAATATTATTAAATTAATATAAAAATAGAAATCTATGATTTTCAAAATCTATCAAATTCTAATTTTTGGAATAAAAAAATATTTTCTATTTTTAAAAATATTATCCATTAAATTTAATTCATTATTTTATATGAAATGACTTGATTTTCATACATTGCAAGTAGTATATTTCTATTTCACAAAATATGTTTTTGTAACAAATGTTTTATTTGATTTGAAACATTTTGAAATTTTTATATAATAAATATCGATTATATATCGTATTAAAATCAAATACATAGCTATGAAATCTATCTATAAAAAATGATATATATCTATATTTTATAACTAAATGCATACTTTTATAATAAATTCCTATCATGTACATAAATGGACAGGTCTAAGATAATGAATATCGCAAATCTGATCTTGTTATTCCATTGAATAGAATGATTTGAGTTATATGTGATAAAAAAATTAAACCTTGTTGCATAATGTGATCTAATGATATAGTTTATCACAAGAATTTTCGAGTAATGCAAGATTGACATTAGAAATGAAGAAAAAATCCATAAATAAATATAAAAAGGAAAAGCCCTGAATTGTGTAACAAGTAATTTCCTCCTAGTATATGATGTTAACAAAATATATATCAACTTCTTTTGAATACAATTTAGACAGAATTTGTTCAATCATAGAGTAGAAAGTTGATTTTTGATTATATCTGATAACATATAAGATTGATAATTTGATTGAATTAAGAATTATTTTTTATTAAAATAAAAAATGGGTCCATACAATAAAAATAAAAAAAGCGAGAATTGTATTTGTACGTATATTTTCCGTTTCTAATTACATTTGGGTTATTTGAATACAAAAATTGCATTATCATGATTGCAAAATCCCCACACACTTTGTACAGTATAAAAAAGTATAATGATTCATTTTTTCCCTTAATCGTTCAAGATTTCAACATGCTTTTTATTAATTAATCTTATGTATATTAAGTCTGGATTTTTTCTACTTCAATAGAAAGATGCTTGAAGTTTTTTTTAAAAAATATGCTGCAAGATAAGTGAGACATGTCTTTCCCACCGTCACATCTTACAGCCTTTTCATCCCATGGCGTGATAGATTTCTCACTCAAAGGGCCGAAACTTGATTTCTGCAAAGTAAAAACTGCAACCACAGAAATCAGAGATGAACTTGAAACGAGTGAGAAGTGAAAGTTATGAAAGCCTGAGGAAAAAAAATAAAAACCGCAAGCCTTATGATCGAGCAAGATAGACGGAATTCCTGCAGATGAAAGACGAAATGCACATGCACATGACATGAGATGACATGCATGCGCTTGCCGAAGACCACTTGGACAGCGAAGAGGAGAGGAGAGAAGAGAAGAGAAGACACGGAGGAGGAGGAGGAGGAGGCAGCAGCAGAAGGGGTTGGGGTTGGGGTAGGGGTAAGCGACCGTGTACTCTTGCAGCCGCCAATACGCTAGAGTATGTGGCACGTCTGTCGGTTTTCCTGCCGCCCTCGGATGAGTTTGGGTCATCCCGTGCTCGCGCAGGCGACTCGCTTTTGCGTACATGCACGCGCTCTAGGCGGCTACGCCAGATGCAGTCATCTGCCCCCAGGACTCGTTCCGCAGCATCTTGACGTGGTTTGCCAACTATCACAAAGCGCGCGAGAGAATATCGCCCGAAAATGAGATCCGAGTCATCGCTCGATTCACAGCCAGCAGCAGCAGCAGCAGCAGTATACGAAGTGAATACGAGCTCGGTGCGACGAGCCGAGCGGGGGCCGGTGTCAGGTTCGTAGCGCCGCTGGTCCTCACGTTTTTGCTGCATTATAGCCCCCCAAGGGGCTATGTTCATAATAAATGACACAAAAGCACACAATCATTTGACTATCTCCGTTGTGTTGATAGAATGATTTGTTTTTATGGACCTTTGCCTTTTGTTGTTCCAGCAGGCGCAGGAGAAATCCAGTGCGCGAGAGAGCCAGTTAAGACAAAGGCCCTCGCTCCCCGTCCATGATTCGGAAAATCATGCTCTCGGTGTGTGCTTGCTGATTGATTGAGTGAGTGAGTGAGTGATGGGGGCCCTTAACAACACCACCGATAACAAGCCCTCCCCACTCTGCTTGGCCCTGCCCCTCCCGCACCCGCACCCGCACCCGGAGGCGCGGACCGGATATCGGGGGCGCTTTTGGGGAAAGGGCGATGGGTCTCGAACCCATCAAGAGTCCGCCGACCAAAATTCCCGGAAAGCGACAACGGGGAACTTACCGGCCGCGTGCATCAGGCCCCGGTGGCGGCTTCGGCGAGCGCCCGGTGGGGCTCGGGAGGGGGTTGGGGGGCGAGAGGAGAGGCGACCAAGATCGACGACTGGTCCGCGGCAGATATCCGTTAGATTCTTCTCAAGAGACGAAGGGTCGCTAATTTCAGGCCAATGAATGCCCACACAGGATCTCGTTCGTCTTTATATCCAATCTTTCCGCTTCCCTCTAGCGAGGACCGGCGACGGGCTTCCACCCGCTGCCCCCGACCCCCGACCGACAGAGCCACAGGGGCAAGGACGGCGCGCGATCGATGCTGGGGACTGCGCTCCGCCAAGCTTTGGACGTATCCTGGTCGTGCAGACCGGAGCGGTACGGGTCGTCGATCCGGCATCTTCCCGGCATCTTCTCGTGATCCCGCGACTCGCGTCGCGTCGCGTCGCGTTGCCCGTCGTCGTCGGAGTGCTGCCCGCCTGCCATGACTCGGTGACCCCGGTCAGAGGGGAGGGGAGGGGGGTGGCGCGGGTGGACAAATACAAGGACAGACGAATATTTGGCTGGAGATTTGGTTGCAGGAGGGCGGAGGGCGGGGGGCTGGGGGTGGGGCTGGCGAACGATGGGGATCGTGGATGGCAAAGCGTAACATGCATCGAACGCGGTGGTGTCATTGCACTGTGTTGCTCTAAAGCCAGTAAAGACAAGATTGTCATTCGCAGGAG